CTTACATGGAGAATTTAGTCCTGCATATTCATTTTTCCCTGTTAGTACTCCATAAATCTTAAATAATTTCTCTATTATTTATATTACTTTTACATTATTCTATATTATTATTATTTTCTTTCCTGTTCATAAATTCAGGAGAAGAGAAACTATGTCAGCAGAAATGCATTTAGCCCACCACGAGCACTAGCAGTAGCCAAAAGAGCACAAATAGGGACACCAGTGGAATGCAAATGCTCTGTGATAGATGCGTTGTCTCTTGAAGGTGTGTTTTCTTCTGATGGATGCAACCTGAGTCATAAGGTATGCTGAAAGTTAAACCCCAGCAACTGATTTCTGTAGTGGGGGAAGAGAGTCCTTCCTGATTTAATCTCAGTGTAAGTAGGTTAAGTGCGGTTTTCCTGTCATATCTTTGCTTGTGTGTTTTAAAGACATCTGCAACTGTGTTACTTACCATAGATGTCTTGAAAAAATACTTCTATTTGTTTTTTACCTTTACACACTTAAAATATGGTAAAAGGTACTTAGATAACAATATAAATTTACATGAGGCTGTTGTGAATCTATAAGTGAGTTGTGCTGGACATTCTTCCAAGTATCTGAGGTACAGCAGTGTCCCTTTTCAGCTGCCTAAGTAAGGTGGATAGACGACTTCACAGCCTCAGAAGAGTCTTCTGGTGACTGGTTAAAAATGCACCTCTTTGGCATGCAGCATGAAACGGAGGTGCATTTTTGGGCTGTATAATGTCAGGTCATTAGAAAGAATATGCCTGTGCTGACAATTGTAATTGTTTTTTGACATTGTTTTTGTGCGAAAAACAGTGTAAGGAATCCTGTAATAACTTCTGAAGACTTGGTGGGGGCAGATGCTATTTCAGAACAACTGTGTTTCCGCTTGCAGTGGATTCATAATTCAAAAGCTATGATCCAGGTCTTTGTCTCTGCATGGTATAGGTCTCTTTTGCAGGCAGCATGTTCTCTTGTCATCTTCAGATGGCATCATGGTGAAAGCACAAGTCCTTTTGCCTAGTAATTCCTTGCAGTGGGGATGAAGTCTTTATTAGTTGAAGGCACTGCACTGACAGTGGCAACATGTAGCCTGCTGTTTCTGGAGATGACAAAGGTTGGCACGTATACAGTCACATATGGATGTCCTTAGAGTCCACTGTTCCCTCTGCAAGGCCCAAATTTTTAGCAATTAACACCACAGACAAGTGCCTTGCTCTCAACCAGAATGGAATCAAACTGCAGAGTAGATCTTTTTCAGAAATGAAGTGTTTTCTGGATAATGGAAATCAGACTAGGACACTTGCTGCTTAGGAAGCATGCACTCAGCATGCCTGTTTTCACCTGAAAAAAGGAGACTCATTGATGTCCTTTCAGCATGTGGGCCCCTTTACTGCTCCTTTCTCCCAGCTGCACACAGTCCCAGTCAGAGACAAAGCTAGTTTATAAGCTGTATGTTCACCAGAGGCAGCTGTTTTGGTAGAGGACAGAGGTTACAGAAGAGAAGTTGATGTGCTGGCACTTGTGTTTCATGCCTCATCTGCAGTCCCCTTGATCTCAGACACAAGTGATTTACCAGCAATCTGCCCATTATCTGCCTGGCTTCTTGTAAAAACACACAAACTTCAATACTGTAGGACTTGATTAATTTGCTGAAATGTAAGTGTCTAATACTCTTTGAGATGCCCTGTGTAGCCTTGCCTGACTTTTAGCTCCTGGTCAGAAGGAGGGACTCTTTCTCCTTTACAATCATTAGTATTGCTATCAGACTCATGTGGGTGTTTCAGATGTCCTTGGGCACCTTAAATGACACAGGATGCTTGTGCATGGGCAGTTGAAGCATCTTTCCTTGTAGTATCTTCCCTGACGAGACTTTCTGATGAGTTGCTCCCTCTTAGTTTTATCCCACTAGGGAATGTGTGCAGCACAAAGGTGGAAGGGATCTTTTTGGTTTGTGTTGAAAATAGGAATTTTCTGCAGTAAAGTCTATAGTATACCTGTCAACTACCCCTAACCACCCACCACTGGAAATAATCTTTTAAAATAAAAAGCTTGTACTTGTCTTCTGTTTGATGAAGTCAGCATACACTTGAAAGATAAGTTTAAGGATGTGGGAAGGAAAGACTAAGCGTGTGGCAATGAACTTGCCATATACAGTATGGAAAAAGTCCTGTCAGAGATGGACTGGTGAGGAAAACAGCTCAAACCCTATGGAAACAGAAGCTTTTACTGTAGTTTAAACATGTCTCAACATGTTTGTGTATTTTCTGCAGTGTCACTGTCTCCCAAACACCCCCTGTGAAGCTATTGTCTCCCACACAAGGTGTCCTGGGAAGGTGTCCCGAGGTGTCCCATTGGTCCTTTGTTTAACCCCTTCCTATTGGCTGTTGACCCCTTACCTGATGGTTTCTTTTGTGTGACCCTGAACTTGTGATTGGTCCCCTTTGACCTTCCTAAAAGCCTTATAAACCCCAACCCCACAATAAACTTCCTCTTTCGTCAGTCCCTCCCAGGTGGTCTGTGTGTGCTCCTTGCGGGGTCACCGGGCCACGTGCTGGGGTGGGGGGAAGGGCATTCACCTCGCAGGTAATGGGGCTGGAAGCATAAGGCCTGGAGGTCTCCCCCAGTATCCCCAATTCGCCGTATAAGCGTTCTTTATATTTCGACATCAGAAATCTTCTAAATTCCAGAGTCCAAAGCATCTATAAAATATATGTTCTCTACTGTATTTTATGCTAGAATTTACAATTTGATTCCTTGGGTGTTTGACTATGTTGCAATGAGACACCTGGTAAGATGATGAGTCTGATTTACTAACTTTATGTGTCTTGTTCTTGGGATTAGGTCTGCAAGTGCTTAAATGAGGATATGTAAGTTTATTGATTGTCAATTTGCTAATGTAATCAGCATCTTCTTATGTTGCCCAGTAGTGCTGGATGTACATCACTGTTGAGTAAATGCTGGGGAGAGCGCTCAGCATGACTGCAGTATGGTTGCAGGCACACACAGCATGTTCTCAAGCTAAGATGGCAACTTAGGTGCTTGCAGTGGATCACTGGAAGTGTTCTCTTAGTCTTTTCAAACATGAAAATGTGCTTCTAGATTTCAGCAGATAGCTGGATCTCAGCTTCCTCATCCTGGCACCTGACAGTCACAGCTTCTTCCTCGGCAAATTCTCATCAGCAGGCCACTAACTCCCCTTTGCCTCATCGTCCTCTGTGTTCATCTTACTTACTGTGAGTCTGTTTCCTTCTCAATTCTCTTTATTCTTTGCTACTCATTTTTCCTGTCATCTTTATTGCCTTCTTCCAAACTCCCCTTCCCTCAGCTCTCCCAACCAGCTCCAATTAATTTGTAAGTATCTTACGCTGTATTTTTAAAAATGAAGATGTTTTCTTTGACGCATTTCAGTCAGCAACAAAATACTGTTGTCTTCATCAGAGTCAAGTTTTCATAGCATCATAGAATCATTTAGGAAAAAACTCTTCAGACCATTGAGTCCAGCCATAAACCCAGCACTGTCAAGTCCACCACTAAACCACATCCCTAAGCTCCACATCTACATGTCTTTTAAATACCTCTGGGGATAGGGACTCAGCCACTTCCCTGGGCAGCCTGTCCCAGTGTTTGACAACCCTTTTGGTGAAGAGATTTTTCCTAATATCCAATCTAAACCTCCCCTGGTGCAACTTGAAGCCGTTTCCTCTTGCCCTTGTTACTGACCCCCACCTCTCTACAACCTACTTTCAGGTAGTTGTAGAGAGCGATAAGGTCACCCTGAACCTCCTTTTCTTCAGCCTAAACACCCCCAGCTCCCTCAGGTACTTCTTATAAGACTCGTGTTCCAGACCCGTCACCAGCTCCATTGCCCTTCTCTGGACACTCTCCAGCACCTCAATGTCTTTCTTGCAGTGAGGAGACCAAAGCTGAACACAAGATTTGAGGTGTGACCTCACCAGTCCTGAGGACAGGAGGACGGTTACTACCCTAGTTCTGCTAACCACGCTATTGCTGATACAGGCCAGGATGCCATTGGTCTTGGCCACCTGGGTACACTGCAGGCACATATTCAGCTGACTGTTAACCAGCAGGTCCTTTTCTGTGAGGCCACATTCCAACCACTCTTCCCCAAGCCTGTGGCACTGCATGGGGTTGTGACCCAAGTGCAGGACCCAGCACTCCACCTAGTTGAACCTCTTTCATTCACTCTTAATTCATATACACACACCTTCAAACACTGCCTGAAACTTTCAAGTTTTGTACATGACATAAAATGGCATATATTGATGTGATTTGTACTGTTATTTGTGTGTTCTCTTATTATTACATGCATTATTATTTCTGTTGCTCCAAGTAGCCTTATTCACTCATTGGAATCCCGTTATGTTGGAGACTGCTCAGACAGCTACAGAAGACTCAGACTCTGTTCCTGTATGCTTATAGTAAAATTTCAGTCAAAAACCAGCAGATGAATGGGAAGAGAACAAGATAAATTAGTTCAGCAGAAAACTAGAGGTCTCCAGAAGTCTTTCAAGAGAGCAAATTAAATGTCTTGTCCTGTATTTGGTTAATATTCTTTTTGACTCTGCAAGGGTCAGGACTGTTAGGATGAATACCAGAAATAGCAGGCTTAAACACAGAATGGCACGCAATGGGGTAGAATACACGATGCCTGAAAATTCTGTTTTAATAATAAATGTTAATGAAGATGTGAGTTACGGCGAACTGCTCTTAATTAAAATGCATTACATTAATATTGTTAGTTCACATTGTCTGTGAAATGAAGTGGAATCAGTTATTAAGGAATAAAAAATTAGATGGATTTATTTTTTTTTCTGCAAGTTAAAATTCTTCCTTGTTAGATTTCTGTATATATATTCTCCTTATTTCCTAAAGAACTAAAAGACAATGCATATGATTACTAGCATGAGATATAAACATGAATAGTGCTAGGTCAGAAAACTGATAATTCTTTTTTCATTTATTTTTCGTAGGTTTCCTTTGCCTGATCTGTAAACATGTCAACAGACCTGCTCTGTAAGTACATTTCCATTATCTCACAGTGATTTTTTTGCACCATATGTTTTTATCAGATTCCCAGATGTACTCATGATTGATGTCTTTTATCTGAAGTATAAAGTCTGCTTTTACATTTGTGTTTCTTCTGAGACATCTGTCGAACAATATTACCATTATAATCAACAGGATTATTCTTGGAGTAAAGCATGACTTAATATGAGTAAAATTGTAAAAATCTGGTCCAAGTATAAGAACAGACTGGTTCATTGAGATTTTAAATTACAATTCTGTCTAAAATGTTTTATCTATCTTTGGCACAAATACCATCCCAGATTACTACAGAGTGATGTGCTTGGGGTTTTTAAATCATTTTGTGAATTTAACTCCTGTGTTTCCAATGCATCATTATCCCAGTCGTATCCAAATCTCATGCCTCATCACTATTATCCATCCTTCTTTTTAACAGAAAAGAATATACAAATGACATATCCTTATACTATGCTGTCGTAACTACCACAAAAGACTGCTGCCCACGTTTCCTCGATACTCACACTCTCTCACTCCAGCTTAAGCTATCCGAAGCATTAAGCACATTTTCTATGCTTATTGATCTGATCTACATGCTTTCTTTTGGAGTCCCTCCAGTGCCTCAGCTGCCATTTTTTATCATTGCTTCCAAGGGCTGCCCAGCTGCACACTGTGCAGTATAAGAGGGGAATTTCGGAAACCCGTTTTATTGTTTCTTAATATTTCCCCAGAGGAACAAAGAAAACAATATTTTTTTCATTAATAATTGTATTCTGTTAATAAATATAAAGCCATCAGTGGCTGAGTGGCAGCAGTTTTCTCTGGGGGTTATATCTGTACTTCAAGATTAAGTTATTTGTGCATTTTTTGAGCTTCAAGTGCGAACTGGCAATTTTGGGGCATGCTTAAATGCCATTTAGATACAGGGAGAACTCTAAAATAAGGAATGTGATATGCCTGACTGTATTGTATACAACAGGCAGAACTGCTGTCAGGAGTGAAAAGTTAAAGAATGGAGAGAGGGAAGGGTGACTGCACAGTAGTTGGGGTCAAGACTCCTCAACTGTGCTAACATGTTTAAGCTGGTTTGTCTGTTATAGTAATTTTATGCCCTATCAGTTTCATTTTTCTTTTTTCAGCTCAGTACCTCTCTCATGTTTCTCCTGATGATCAGTGGGTTAGAGAAGTTGTCACCTGAGTAGAGGTTGAAGGAGCTGGATGTGTTCAGCTCAAAGAAGAGAAGGTTCAAGGGGATCTAGTCATATTACTAGTCTTCCAGTACAAAATGGTGGTTATGGAAAAGGAGTTGGAAGCACTCTTTCCCCAAGTATGCACTGACAGGACAAGAGGTGATGGTCACAAATTGCTTCAGGGGAGATGCTTGTGGATGCACAGAACATTTTCACTGTGGGATTGATTAAACACTCAAATACGCTGCCCAGGGAAGTGGTGGAGTGCCCCTCACTGGACATATTCAAGATACAGCTTGACAAGGCCCTGGGTAATGCTATTTAAGGGCCTGCTTTCAGCAAGAGGCTGGTCTAGTTGATCTTCACAGGTCTCTTGCAACTTCGATAATTCTGCGGTTCTGTATTTCTTGGTGTCCTCAGCTATCTTCTGTGCAATGGTCAGTCATCCCTACCACCTGTCCCTGGTCTTCTCAGTATTGTACTGCTTGCGCTGTGCCAAGTCCTGTGATACTCAGTCATGCTAATGGGATAGACATTTGTCTTCTCACTTGGACATGTGTGAATGGCCCTGAGGCAGTACCAGTGCTGAGGGGCCTTTACAGGTTCCAGCTGGTGGGAGTACATGACCATGTGGGACTTGTGACAGCCAAGCAGTGCCTTGGTAAAATGTCAGTGCACAAGAGAATGCTAAAGAATAAAACAGCAGATCTGTACAGATGTGAAGTGACTCTAGATCTTTATGTCTGTATTTATATAAATAAATATTTCAGAGCCAGCCCATGAGCTCAGTACTGCCCTATAGTAGCAAGCAACACTATGGTGTGTTTTGGGGATAATATCTACCAGACTGTGTTCCAGGTAAGGAATTTGGATATAACCAAACTGTTTGTTGGGGAACAGATAAGGAGTTGAGGAGCATTTAGACATGTGGAGCTGATGCCGAGTGGTCTCCGCACCATAAGAACCGGTCTCTGTCTCTTACTGTTTAGTAGCAGACATGTAGCCTAACCACCAGTCCTTAAGCTTGTCCACAGCATCATCTTTTACTAATGCTTGGTTCAATACAAGGTCAAATTCTAGCATTAAAAATCTTGTTCCAGGTCACATTAATGAAGACAAGACGTATAATTAAAAAGTAAAAATCTAACCAAATCAGAACAAACCCCCTTAGTTTCCTAGGGAAAAAAACACTGCAGTCTGGGGCAAATTGCACAAAGAAAATGTCATGGCTGCACAATACAAGGACTGCTGCAACTAGACCTCAAACTCCAGCAGCTAAGTCTTCAAGCTCATGGAAATAAACCTAAAAAGCCAGCATTCCAGTGAACTTTCACCACAATAAATTTGAGGTAGCAAGTGTTTCTCTGTTTGAGATGGAGAAGCTAAGAAAAAAAAAAGTTTATGGAAAATCTGGCAGCTACTGAGGCTCGACTGGTTGGGGAAGCAGCGGACTTCCCTTGGAGCTTGTTTTTCTTTTTATCCTTGGATGAACTAGCGTGCAGTATATTATGCTGTGTGAATGTAGGGGTTTGTCACGGTTAGTGCCAGGGGCTGTTCCGGGAATGTAGGAAGATGACGGGTGTGAATGGAGCATGCAGTGGTCAGTGGGGCTTGAGCCTGCTCTTCCGAAACCTGTTGCTGCTCCTCTCAGCCCAGCCGGCCAAAGCCAGGCAGGAAAGGAGGTGGATCTTTGATCTCTTTGTTGTAGCTGCTCCCTGGGAATTTGCTGAAATCAATGCCCTGTTTTCCCAAAGAAATGAATGGCTATGCCTAACTAGCTTTGTGAAGCACTGGGGAATTCACCGCTTCTGTTTATTGACAGCTGAAAAGGAGCACATGGTCCTGAATGGGTCCTCCTGGGGAAACAAAACAGAGCGGAGTTAGACTTAGTTGAACAGAGGGGCATTTGGAAAAATCTGCTGAAGGAAGATGGCATGGTTCCTGCCACCCTGTACTAGCATAGCCTGACTTTTTACTAAAATTGATATTTTAAATAAGGTAAGGTTTGTTTTGATTTCCCATACACAGTGAAATTATGAAATGTTTGCGTTTCTGTTCTTAAGTGCAAAAACAATATTTGAATTGTATTGTGTCACGGGAAACACCTAAGAGACTCATATGCTGTTTCTAGCCTCTATATGTGCTCGTTTGTTCTTTATCTAATGGTAATTTATGAATATGAAAAATAATAGAAAATAATTCAGTATTTCGGTCTTCCAGTCAGGTCCTGAGCATCAGTAATTTATGTGGGCTGTTATATGCAATTTTTTTATGCCTTTGAGAATCAGCCCAGTGGCACCAGATGATTTCTTGACTGATTGCTGTGTTAATACTTACACACAAGGCAGGGACTAATAAACAGGCCTGTCTGGCAGGAAATCTGGGAATCTAAAATCCTTTGAAATGTAAGGATATATTTCCAAACCTCTGTTTCCATGCATGGAATCAAGGCAAGAGATAGACTTACCACTATGCTTGCTGCTGGCTTTAGATGTACAATTTTTTTGGAAAGACAGCAAAGAGTAGCAAGAGGAGGATGATAACGAAGAAGCAGTATTTTCTTCATGCAAGTTCAGAACAGTTTATTAGACTGAAGGAATTTGGTGTGTAATTCATATGTAAATTTTTTACTGAAAAAAAGAGAACAAATCACTGGAGTTCCTATATTAGTTTCTGTGGTGACTGAAGAAAAAGATTTCTGGGCTCATGCAGCTACAACTTCCAGGTGTGGCCCACTTATGATTGCAGGAAAAAAAATTAGGTAATGTTATTTCTTCCTTTGTTAGTTTAAGTGTAAGGGCAAGCTCTGAACAGAATAATTGCCATCACGCTGCCTTGTTCTTACATGGCAGTAGGAATTGCTGTGTTTATGTTGCAAACCTGATTTAAAGTGTCTGTGCATGTGTGCAGTAGTTTGAAAACTCTTGAGTAGTCCCCTCATTTCAGGGGAAGTGCTTGGGAAGTTTCATGGTCTGTTGGAATAGTTTGTGTTCCTCAGTCTGGCATTTTTTCTTTGAGTGATTTTGAGCTAGTAATCTTACTAGGTTTTGTCTCATTTTGCTCTTCTCCCAGCAGATAACTTACCTGTTTTTCTTGGAAGAGTTTGGGCTCCATATGCAAACATGCTTTCTTTAGATTACTTTGTGATCCTTAAAATGAAAATACATTGTTTTACTGTAGAGCATCAACATGTTTGCTTGTGGCTTTGCCATTAAGTTTCCAAGATTTTTAGAGGGAAAGGCAAAAAAAAAGCAAATGCATTTACGGTTTTGACAAAGATGTAAAAACACTGAACTCAAGCAGGCAGATATGATGTTTGTGGGCTCTGTTGACACTATTGTTATCCAAATGGATCAAGACTGTTTTTAGACCTCACTTAAGTGTATTTATGCATGATAGGCATTGGAAGCCATTAAAATTTAAAGCTAATTTAAAGTTAACATTTAAGTTGTACAGGAGATACGTTTGTAGGTTCTTTTAATGCTGTAATCTAGATATGTTATGAAAATGTTGACTGGGGAGGGTTTCTGGGTACTTTTAATGGTGCAAATAGAAAAGAATTACGGTTGTGGAAAGCTCAGTTGATTGGGGCTTTTTTAGTTGGTATAATGGAAAAGAAAGTAGATGATTCATATGTGACACGGAAAGTGGCACTTGTTCTCTGTTACTTGGGCGATAAGACAAGGCAGAGTGTGTTATGTTTAATTTACTGGACTGGAAGGTGGTTAGCCAGATGTGTGGGGAGGTGCATAAGGATGTTCTGTTATCACAGTTTTCCATTTGCCTCTTCTAACTTGAAGG